TTTGGGTCCGAGTTGACCTGATCCCGTTGACCCGATCCCGTTGACCCAACTGCAGCACAATAGTTGACCAATTCCTGAAGAAAATTTCTTAACCTTATCCAAGATTATTCATCTCAGTTCTCACCATATGCTCACACTTGACATAATTTATCTGAAAATTGCACTTCATAACTTGACAATGACTTTGGCACATGCACACTGGACCCCTGAGCTGTAGTTGGGCCGGCCCAACTATAGATGGCAATGATGCTACAGTTGGCATGATTGTAGGCCTAGGCCGTTTTCCAATACTCAATTTCGTCTCCGTCACTCAGCTTCATTCCCCAAACCAATTTCCGATTTTGTGCCTGAAGCGATTAAATTACATTGGATTACTGTATTTTTGGCTTTCTTGCATCTTATTTGATGTTCTGTGGCACTATTAGACTGATTACTGCGCTTACAGCTTGAAAGTCAGCAAGTAAAAAACAGTTGAAGCCTTATCTATAGACGGGGCTGAAGAAGTTGAGTATTGGAAAAGGGCCCTACACTGTTTGACAAGTGAGTGTCGCTGATCAAGCTGATGGTACACGCAAGCATTTTTTAAGTATGGAAGTCCTTAGTTTGACTCCGAAATCAAGAAACTTCGCAGTTACAATGTGTCTTTAAAGGGCAAATACTATAACTTGAGATCTCCTGATTTCCAACTCATTTTTTACCCATCGTTCGCGTTCAGCCTGTCGGCTGTTCAGTTTTACTCACGTGCGTCGCCATCTTGCGAGAGGGGGTCTGGTAACTATGCTCAATTTATTTCAGTTCTCCCAAAAAAGGCAGGAGACACCAGTCTAGGTTCAGGAATCCTCTTGGAGGGGGGACTTATTAATTAGCATGGCAGATGTGTAAAACATTCGAAAGATCTACCCTGTATCACACGATAAAAAGTACCTGAAATGTCTCATTTCAACGTTAAAAGATGTTAATAAGAATATATTTCTGGAGCATGTGAGTAAATTTTGAGACTGATGAGAAACCAAGTGTTTTCCTTAAATATTTCAACCCCTTTTAAGCCTACATAGAATTTTCCATTTCTATTACTTCTAGCTCAACTGCAAAATACAGTCATGGCGAACCAAGGAGCGGTTGCTCGTGGCAGAAGACCAAAGTGGTCTATTGACTTCACTTCAAGGTAATATTTAAAATATTCGCCTCCTTATTACTGATATTAGGGGGCAAATGTTTGAATGTTCATGAAGAACTGACTTTTGTATAATTGAATACACAAAACGTGTTACAATCAAGTACATGTTCATGTGGTGAGGCCTTCAGTTTAGTACGTATACGGTATATAATGGGTATCGGTCACTTCACCCCATTGATATTTGTTACGACCCAACTATAGTATAAGTCCCAACTGTAGTGCTGCAGTTGGGCTGGCCCAACTATTGTTGACCAATGTATGTGGGAAATGTCTCAACATTATCCAAGTCAATGTGTCTCACACTTGACACAATTCATCTAAAATGTGGCACTTCATCTCTTCATCTAACTAGCCCTATGACCAGTTACATGACATTTGTAAACAATATGACTTTGGCACATGCTGGGCACATCATGCACACAGGATCTCTGTGCTGTAGTTGGGCTGGCCCAACTGTAGCACTCTAGTTGGGGCGGGCCCAACTATAGTTGGGACTGATGCTATAGTTGGGGCGTAACATCGTTCTTCAGTAACAGAGGCATAGGCCTAGATGTAACAAGTAAAAACATGAACGTTTGAGTACCCAAATAATGATCGGATAATCCAACTTTCAAAGGCCTAAACAATGATTCCAATTTCCCAACCGCTGGACCCAAATATTTTGTGTTTCATTGTCGCTATGGTATAAACACGAGCACCATATCTGTGTAAGAGAATGCTTGATAGAATGTGGCGACCAATCTACTCATGCCATGGCAACCATTCATGAACGTGATCTGTCATGCATCGAAAAAAAACAATGTTTGCAAGATTTCTTCACGTTAATTCTTAGTATCTTGTCTATGTGTGTGTTTATCTATTTCATTGGTTTAATTTTTGGTTGTTTTGCTCGTACATGTACTTGAAATGAGCATGTTTCCACAAAATTTCCTGCGCGCCGAGCTTTATCTGATCGCCTGGGTACAGCTGTCTGGATGCATCGACAATTACCAGAAAGATGTGAACAGAATTGTGTGTGTCGCTTTGAAATAAACTTGAAGAGGATGAGAAATAACCCCGATGCTAGTCCAACCATATGCATTCATTCACCATAATGGACAACGCAGGTGACATTAAATTAATGCTGTAGAATTTTCTATAATAACTGCATGCCATTTCATGTTGTTTGTGGAACTCCTCAAAAAGTGGAAATGGGGATGGGGGGATGTGGGGATTGGGTGATGTGGGGATGGGGCGAAGTGGGGATGGGGCGATGTGGGGATGGGGCGATGTGGGGATGGGGCGATGTGGGGATGGGGCAAAGTGACTGTAAACCGTGCCATCTGTAGGCCTCCCCTCTGTATACATGTAGAACGCTTTCCAATACTAAAAAAAATTGAAACTTCTTCAGCTGGGAGACACGAAGCATTAGTAGCCCCATTCTTTTTCACCAGATGTGTTTTTGCATTGGGGAGATGTTAATTTATATAACGGGTTTTGCCCGAGTAAGCTTGTGACTTTTTTTTTCGCAAGCTCTCGGACAAGCACTGAGTATACAGCGTTTAAAATATTAATATATACGTTGGGTAAGGGCAAACCCGTTATATAAACCCCATTTTTCACAAGAAAACTTCAAAGTCGCATTATGTCATTAATCATAAGCATGGTCTGAATATAATTATAAATGAACAACATGAATCTTCCGCCTAATAATAACTATCTATTTCTACCTTCACGTAATAACACGTGGACGAGTGCGAGGTTGCACCATTGTTGCAGCATGGAGGCAAACCATTTTCGCACACTTTACCATCAACCATGTTTACCGTCAGGCTACAGACTTCCCCAAAATAATTTATGTCGACTGATTTCTTTCGTATTAAAGAAAATCTAGGTGATAGGGGGCCTACTAGGAATAGGCCTAACCAGTGATGAAGTTTTCAAAAATACTCACATGAGTTTGGGTTCTTTTCCCGTAATGTTACAGGCTGTTCCACGCAGGACATCACTACATGCACACTTCCAATCAACGCATGGCGCGACGAGCGAAACACACAGGTCATACGCACGTCCGTCCCGGCCGTACGTGCGCGCAACAAATTTCTTCGGAAAAATCTGGATATTTCGCGGCAAATTAATGCGTCATACATTGATTTAGCCAATGAGACAAACTGTTTCAGTTTGACGCATCGTCCGGTCTGCGTAAAATACATTTGGATTGGTTAATTCTATCAAAAGACATTATTCATGTTATAAAAATGGGAGGAGTTACTACTCGATTTATCAACAGAGGGCGCAAGTAAAAAGTTTTCGCCACGTGACTTTTGCTATTGTGTTCTAACGGACGAAAACCGCGGACGGCACGGACGTCATATAAAAAAATGACGAAAACGTGCGGCTTGCGTGGCGCTCCCCCGTATCGTTCCTGATCTTATCTTTTGGAAAGTGAGCAGAAGTTGAACCAAAACAAAATCTGAAACAAAAAAAATGTAAGAAGAAAAAACAAAACAAAAACAAAAATAAAACAAGAGAACGGACGTTTTCGGCTGCTAGAGAATGATCACCATTGATGCTGTTTTATTTTGTGGTGCACTAATATGTATTCACAATTGGTGTGTACATTAACTTTAGCAATTAACGCTGATTTTGTGGAGTTACGTTAAGGGAGCAACTACCGGGCATTACGTAAAGAGCTTTCTCCGAAAAATAATTAACAGTGAATGTCTTATAATAGCAACTAGTTTCTTGGATCGATGACGCAAGGAAAGGAAAAAGGAAATGTTTCGATTCAATAAAAAATTACACCAACACCAAGTTGGGATCTGTATAACATTAATCGACTCCCCGCCAAGACTAATTCAAGAAGGCTTACCCTTACAGATATTTTCCTTTGAAAATTGGAAATTTATCACATAATCATGACGTCATACCACCAGAATTCAATCACTGATCTTTTGCGTGTAAGCCACCTTAGCACCTGTTTGCATGACGTAGGGAGGAAACTAATCGCTTGATCGTGACGCCATATTCGACAGACGTGGATCAAAAATTAAGGGCTTACGTGTACGAAAGGTTGGAGGACACCCTCAAAAGCACAAACCAAATAGGGGTTTTAATACGGGCGACTCACAATAGTGCGCCTCCAAGAGTTTGCAACGCGTTGGCCAATCACAACGCGCATTGGGTCGACAGATCTAACGCATTGTGATTAGCCAACCGTTGCAAACTCTTGGAGGCGCACCATTAAGAAACGCCCGTATTAATGTATTAAATTATTGTTCGGCTCAAAATACTAGAAATAGATGGGTTTAGCATCGTTGACAACTACATGTAGACCCTTCCCCTTATGCGAACTAAAATTTCCTGAATCCCCCCCCGGAAAAAATTCTGGATCCACCCCTGTTTGATTTGGATATCAGTTTTGTAACATTGTACATAACCTCGCACCACGTTTGTTGTCAATTCCTACCTTTCTTGGAACTTCATATTATTTTAATTTGCATTTTGGTGACGTCATCGTGGAGCTATGTCATCGAAACCTAACAGAGTGTTCATTAGGTGGTGTCCCGTTGTGGCCAACAACTCCACAAAATTAAATGTACATTCGTCTGCAACGGTTTCAGACTTTCGATACACGACAAGATCGGACATCCCAACACGGGGAAGAAAACTACCAAGGCGTCATTTGGGACATCTTTAAGGAAAGCATGGAAAAATATACACAGACCAAAAGAATTTTTAAAAATGTGGAGTGGAATTTGGAGATACGTAATTTGTATTATGCACACTGTTTCTAATACTGTCATAAACAGTCCTCATAGGGGGCTTGGGGGCGCACACCCCTTTTTTCACCCCCCCCCCCATAAATAAATAATTAACAAGAAAACGAGGGACGAGGAGAAAAAAAGGGGGATCATATTGCCTGAAATTTCGCTACAGAGCGCCTTGAATAAAAAAATCCCCGGACCCCACGCTGCCAAGTGCTTCCGGGCATTTACCATTGCTACTTTCCTTCACGGCCCTCGTCCTTGTCAGGAAAATCCTGGATCCACCCCTGATTTATACGTCCTTAGTGAAGTAATTAGGAACCATTTTGTGAAAACATGGTTACACCATCAAAGTATAGGACGCGTGATTAATTGATTGACAGGTCTGTCGGCAGTTCATTTGCTCTCTGACTGTTGGTTCACTGAATATGGGGCACAACGATGCCGAGCTTTTCCCTTTGTACATTTGAGAAAAAAGTACTCTGGCCGTCTCATGACCC